TGGGCGGCGCTGGGGCGGCCCCGGCCCGGTCCAGGCCCTGCCCAGGCCCTTCGTCCGCGTGGCGGGAGTGCTCCCTGGGGGCGAGCGGCCGCACTGGCGTCTCTGCGGGGAGCGGCGTGTCGGGGGGGGCTTCCGTGTCGCTTCTAGGCACTGAAAATCTTGTTTCACCGATCTCATTGGCGGCCCTTTTTGTTAAGGAGGTACCGCTTGACTCTGACAAAGCTGTTGGCCAGCGGTATGTGATCTCTGCTAGAGAGCACTTGGCTTCACAGGCTTCATGAGTGCCCAGGGTGACTGAAAGCAGTGCGGGGGAGCCAGGAGGTGTGAAATGTAATCAGAGGCAAAGGCCTCTCCTGCCTTTGGTGTTTTGCCAGTTGCTGATCGAGAGTGCCGCAGGCAGAGTGAAGGAGGTCTTGGGGCCCATCTGCTTGGAGCCAGGCACCTGCGCTGAGGGATGTTATGCTTCTACAGACTACAAATTTTTTTAGGACCTTTTCAGCCAGTAGGTGAAAACTGTCAGTTGGACTGCCGGCCTATTTCCACTGTAGGAAGCTGGTTTGTAGATAAATTGAGGTCATGGCCCTTCCCAACTTTTTTGAGAGAAGTACATACCCCGTAAGGTGTTGGTAAATACACCTTGCTTTCTGGCCCGCACTGAGGCTGCTCATAGAGAAGAAGCTATGGTCTGACGCTCACCTTGAATCCCCCTTCTAATTTTGAAAAACGCAGATGGCCTATTTTTATTCATAAAAGAACTGGTTTTGGAGGCTGGAGGCCAGTCCCTGCTGGAAATCACATTATGGTAGAGATGTGCTAGCCCTCATGAAAACTTCTGCACTAACTTACTATTCTGATTTTATTTTTTCCTTTTGTTTTTATTGTTACTTTTTAGTTATTTGTAACACAATACTGTTTTGTGGTGAAGTTTTTGTTGGTTTGGGGTTTATTTTACAAGAATTTAAGTGTGGACAGCTCTGGAACCTTTTCAGAGCTTCAGTGTTTCCTCTGTTTGTAGGATTAACCACAGATTAACTACGATTAGACCTTTTGTTATTGTTCACAGATGGTGTTGGGTCATTTTCAGATCATCCATTCTCAGGATCAGGTAATGATTAGGTGCCTTACACTAAGGGATTGTGTTTACAGTCTGTATGAAATACAGCTCTGAAAGTGCTTAATGCAGTACATATTCAGTCAGGAATTTAGCTGCACTCCCTACTGAGAATGCCCTCAGCAGGGACCTTTGTACCATTCTCTTCCGCATAAAACCAGAAAATAATCTAGAGACCAAACGGGGTGAAAAATGGCTCTTCAAAACCTGATTTTTTTGCTTTGTACCTTGTTTTGTAGTATAGCGTTCATCACTTGCGGAGCAGAAGGTGAGATGCAAAATCTGTTACTACTGCTGTTGTGGAAGGAACTGCACTAACAAGTTGCAGTGTTGTTGTTTTCAAAGGCAGTACATATCTTCTTCTTTTGTTAGCAGTCTGCAAAAGTATCCTGATAAACTTGATGCAAAAATGAATGGTTTTGTGAGATGAAACCATCTCTGAGATGGTTTCATGAAAATAAAACTTTCTTAAAAGGTAGAAAGCAAAACCATTTTGAATTATCTAAACAAAATATTGTTAAGATCTTGTCAGATGATAAATTTAGAAAATGTTAATTATTTTGACAGTTGCTGGTGGCTCTGAAATTTGTATTTAAGCTTTATGCTTTTGCACAGTGACTAAACTACATTTTACCTAGCTCCAGTTGTCATTGCCAGAGCCAGCCATAGGAGTGTTTGGCTGGGAGTGTCTGTCATTGCACAGAAGTGAAATGAAAACTGAACAAAATTGAAAGAGATAAGATGAAATCTTCTAAATCAGTAAAAAAATGTTTCATTGAAAAATCTGTCTGATAATTATAAAGATGCAATTTTTTATTTTTTTTTTTTTTTATCTTATGTGTTACTTAGGACAGAATGGTGCTGAGCCAGAAGTGACTATTACACTTGGACGGCTCAAAGGGAGACAAACAAATGTGAAGGGGACAGACAGACTTGTAAATGTCTTCCTTGGGATTCCTTTTGCAAAAGCCCCTGTTGGATCCTTGAGGTTTTCTCCACCTGAACCACCTGAACCCTGGAATGATCTGAGAGATGCAACTTCTTACCCACCACTGTGAGAGCCGTTCAGTTCATTTGTATGTAGGACCTGCTCATGTTTGTCAGTGTTGTCATGTTTATTAGGATGCAGAGGTCTGGTTTTTGGTGAGGAGGTTGTATTGGCTGGCAGTGAATATGCTGCCAGTACCGAAATACTTCGTAAGAACTGTGGGGCTAGGAACCACAAATATTTCCTGGGAAATTCCTGTCTTTGGAAATCATTATACTGTGCTGAAATAATTCAGCTTTTTCAGTACAAGAATAGAGCTGTACTTTTACAGGTTGCACCTCTATTTATAAGTAACAAAGTTCACATCCTCTATGGGAATTCAGTGTGTGGGGAAAAAGTATGTTTTCTCTATTGTTGTTACATTGCTGCTATTGCTGGTTTATTACTAATAGTCATGCTTCCTTTCTTTTGTGAAGATGTCCTCAAGATCTGTCCATGCTGAAAACAGCTGAAAAAAACTTTAAAGAAAAACACCTTCCATTCAGAACTTCTGAGGACTGTTTGTATCTAAATGTTTACAGCCCTGCTGGTTCAAACAAGAAGGACAAGTTACCTGTAGGTAAACCCATGGTACAAATTTGTGTTGTAGAAAGTTTGCACCTAATGAGAGCTCTTAAGTCACTTAATTGCTTTTCAAAATGTGATGCTGCATTAGCAAAAATATTATTATGTAAAATTCAAAGTCCGCCAACCGAAAATTCATCTCCCATTGAGCTTCAGTGATTTGGAGTTCCTAATTCCCTGATGTTGTCTTTCCTTTTTCAAATTAAATCTGCCAAGCAACATATAAAAGTGTGTCTCACCTTTTTTTCTCTAAGGTAATGGTGTGGATCCATGGAGGCAATTTTATATTTGGTGGTGCTTCTAGGTACGATGGTTCTGCACTATCAGCTTACGAGAATATTGTGGTAGTAATAATTCAATACAGACTTGGACTCCTTGGATTCTTCAGGTAAGATGACCCGTTTCACTTAGTAAAAAGTACTTCTTGTCATGTTTAAAGCATGGGTAGTTTTGTTTTCTAAATCAGCTGAACTCCTATACTAGCTTCCCAGTGTTACAGTGGTTTAAATGTGCATAATTCACTGACATCAGGACTTAAGAATATTAAGAAATGTCCGTAAATGCCATTTGCATTGTCATTTGATTGTAGCCTGCTATGAAATCATAGTTGGGATTATTTGGTTCTGGATAGGATGTTTGTTCTTGCCTTTACTTCCATCCACTGGTGTGTAAAACAAAAAATCATGTAGTGTAAATGTAAGTTGGTGATACTTACTTTATTCTGATATTAGAAGAACTATTACTCTTCCTGAGAAATTGGTTTATTATGCTTTTCCTTCAGTACTGGTGATGAACATGCTCGTGGAAACTGGGCATTTTTGGATCAAGTAGCAGCTCTTCGGTGGATCCAAGAAAATATTGAACCCTTTGGTGGAGATCCAGGATCTGTCACGCTCTTTGGTGTATCTGCAGGATCTTGCTCTGTTTTTGCACATGTAGGCATGCAGTAGATACACTAAAATGTAAATTCTTAAAAAAATCTTCAAAATCTTATTTAGTGTAACATTTCATGCTTAATCTGATTTCTGAAACTAAGATTAATGGTGCATTGTGCTAAGTCTGGACACTTCCCCTGTAAGCACATAAAAATGTGTAATTCCCTGCTGAATCCAGCAGTCTAGTCAAGCATAAAGTTATGGGATAAGGACCTTAATGTAGAATAAATACTTTCTGTTCTTCCCTACTTGGCAGGTTTTATCTCCTTTGTCTAAGGGTCTCTTTCATAAAGCAATATCAGAGAGTGGAATTATAATCCCCCCTGATAAAGATTTACTTCGTTCAACAGATCTTAAGGTAGGCTATTGTTTTTTTTCTCATTTTAAAGCCTTTATAACATGAATAGATATTTCTTATATCTGACAATTTGGTTAAAAAAGGGGAAAATCTGATTGTGTATTATGCAATAAAGTTGATCAAATTTCTTCTCATGGCATACCTATAAATATATAGATGAGCACCAAGTAAATTTTCATTCAAACAGTCTATTTTCAATCTCATTTGATGTTTGAAATAGGTTGTACAGTTATGCAATTACGATATCTGTGAGTTGAGTTAGGTGTTTTAAGTTACACATATGCCAAGCTGGGCATATGTCCATTTTCATGAACACTGTAACTTATACAGGAACTATGAAATTTATTATGGAAAGTTTAATTAGAATCCAGAAGAGACATTCAGTTTTTACTCAGCTATGGTCTTTTATGGAGGGCCTTTATTTGAAGTAAATTAATTAAAAAAACCCCAAACAAAACTTTTAAAATTAAATTCCTCTTTCGGAGTACCTTTTCATTTCTCCTCCTGAAATGTATTACTAAAGGTAGTAATAATGTAAATCTTTCATAAATTCGTTTTCTGAATTTTCTTTCCTTATCTGATTTATGTTACAACCTCATATTATCTTTAAAGCAAGGTTTGTTGTAGAACAATGAATGGAAATATAGCAAGAAAGGGAAGTATACCAGAATGATTTCACTTTGTGATCAAACGGTAGTATTTCTAGTAAAATAAAATACTTGAAGACCTATCAAGCTCACCTAAGTCTGCCCTTAAATAAAACTATTAACAGTACTGTTAATAATTTTATAATTGTATAATAATTGTATTAATAATAAATTGTGTAATAATTTTCTGTTTGTAAATTCCTTAAAGACTACCTCATAGCTAACAGTTCTTGTCTTTGATAATAATTTTCAGAAAATTGCAAGTGTATTTAAGTGTGAGACGAGTAGTTCACTCCCCCTGATAAACTGCTTAAGGAACCAGGAAGCAAAGGATATAGTCTTCAATGGTGCGGTAGGTGAAATTTCACTTAGTAATGCTTGCAGAACTTTAGCTCAGCCTCTGATGAGCGTTTGTTGTTGGCCTGTTCCAAAGTTTATTTTTCTTAACTTTTGTCAAAATACCCCCAGCATATTTAAAGAATTTCACATAATTTCTGTTTAGAATGTTCAGTGAAGTGTCACAGCAGCTGAGAAGTTGTGAGCAAGACTTGAGTGTACCTGTGTTTTAATGTCAGTTAGAAGCAGCACAGGATCAGGAAACCATTACATTACTCTGTACCACGACCCAACTAGGCTTGCATTTTATGCTCTTGGGCAAAGCTGTAAATTTATGTTACAGTGGCTGCAGATACTCAGATTTTGTAAAGCCCTTTTTTGCACTTGGAACATTAAATGTGGACATTTTATTATCTGATTTCAAGGAAAAATTGAAAATACTAATGACAAGTAATTTGATCTTTTTTTTCTTCTCCTTCAGGAAATGCCATTTCTACCCTTAGTTTTGGATGGAGTATTTCTTCACAAGTCACCTGAAGAGATACTGGCTGGAAAAGAATTTAATGCAGTCCCATTTATGATAGGAGTCACCAACAATGAATTTGGCTGGAATATTAGATCTGTAATTTAATGGCTATTTTTGATTATTTTTTTTTAATGTTTGTGTTCACTGATGCAAGCAACTCTGAGAAGGTATTTGCTGGTAGGACACCTTTTAAGTATGGCCAAAAGGCTTTGCACTGTTGGATATATAGACAAGGTAAACTCTGCTTGCATTATGATTCTGTAGTGATCCAGAACCAGTTGGTCACAAAATAGTGAGACAGACTTCATTTTGCAAGTTACACTACATGGACATCCTTGGAACATCAAGTTTATATGGTATTTTCTTATCCTAAAATTTTATTCCCTCATTCAGGCAGAGAGAGGAAAAAAGAATGCAACAGTCAAGGGCTTATTACTGAAGGAAAATAAACGAAATCCTTTCCACCACAACATGCAGTATTCAGGATGGATACATAGAACGTTTAAAAATGTGACAGTGATTACCTTAAACAGCTTACCCTGTATGTCGTTATGAACTCTGACTGCTGGTTCTATCATTGCCCGTGTTCCTTGTTACCATGTAGAATGATCTATTCTTTGAAAATCTCCTTTGAAGACAGAGTATAGGGATAATGCAGGTGTCTAAGCCATTCTCAGTGCATAAATTCTTTCTCATGAATTCTATGGGTAACTCCAAAACATGAGCAGTTGGTATACAGTGCACAAAACTGCAGGAGGTGGATTTGTGTCCTCTCCTCTTCATTTCCTATGTATTCATCTGTGTACTACGAAGCATTTGTTCTGAATCTGCATAGTAACTGTGTGTCTCTGGGAGTGTGCTGGTAGGGAGTCCAAGAAGAAACATCTAAAGTGAAATCTGTTCTAATTCATTTTTCAGGCAGAAGAGTAATTTTATGTAATGCTGTAACAGAGGAGAAGCATTGCCTTTACTTCAAAGAGTTCAAGCGATTGGACTAGAGACAGAGAGGCTGTCAGTGACTTTTAAGATTTCCCCTTCCAGAGGGAAAACAAGCCTTTGGGACAGAAGAAGCTTTTTGCTTCAGTTCTGCTCTAATGCCTTCTGCTCTTACAAGTTTCTTAACAATGTGTATTGATTTAAGAATAAACTACTTAATGTGAGTGGTTTATGTAGAAACCTTCACCAAAGAAACTTCTATTGCGATAAATACAAGCTTTTCAAGACAGCTGCTCCATTGTAGTGCATTTTTGCATATGATATGATGCTTTAAAAAAACCCACCAGTAGTAAAAATAAAGTGGAATAATGTAGTTCCTATATTAAAAATATTGGAGAAGTTGAATGGCACTAATAACGTTGGGGTTTTTTTTTTTCTGCGTAGACATCAACAATACCAGGGTTGAAGGAAATAGGAGATAAAAAATCAATCACTTCAACTTTAGAGTTTTTCCTGCCAATGTTGGTAAGTACTGTTGCACTAATCTAATTTGAGAATTGAAATTTCTTTTTAATGCATATAACAGATTTGTGAAGTTTCATGTTCTCTAATTTCCTGCTTGAGTCATAGTGTTACTAAGACTTGAGGTCATGTTATTCTTTGGGGAGAGGCACAGCAAAGTTGACAGGACTACGGTGTATGGAGTTACACAGAAATTGGATTCAGTCAGGTCTGGGATTTGGGGAAATACCTTTTTTCTTCTAGACCTCTGAACCAACGTTTTTATCTTACGTATTTGTATGTAGGATTACTGTAATAGTGTCCCTAATATTATGGTACCTGATGGCTAATCCCCTGATTGATGGGTTTCAAGGCAGGGTTTTTCAATATGTTTACATTAAATTAAATGTAACTTTTAAAGTAGTAACTTTGCACTCCTAGTTTTGAAATGTATCTTTCAAGCAGCAAATTCTAACACTAAAAACATAAGATGTGTTTGGAGATCCCATTGGTCTTACCCTGTAGTCTAACAATCCATAAATCTTTCAAGGGCTCATAATTTACTTTTGTTATTCCCACCATCTCTTTTCTCCTGAAGAAAACAGAAGTCAAAGGTATTATCAGGAGAAGTTGCTGGATCTTTGTTGATTCCTGTAGAGTTTTAGCCCATATAAATCTGTTGCAAATTCCTGAGGTGGTTGGTTTGGTTTCTGGTGGTGTTGTTTTTTCCCCCCAAAAAAAGTCTGAATAGGTTTTGTTTGCCATCATGGTTTCCTATCCACATGGGTGCTACCCTGGACCTTTGTACCTTTGCAGAATCTCTGAAGTTTAAAAGAGGATATTTTTAGTTGCTAATTCAGAGTGTGATAATTTTTCTGTTTGTGTATTGTTTCCCCTTTTTCTCTTAGTATGTACCATCAGAGTTCCTGCCTGTGATAGTGGATGAATATCTAGGAAACACAGATGATCCTGCTGAGCTACGGGACCGATTTCTGGACTTGCTAGGGGATGCACTAATCGTTATGCCATCCATTAAAGCACTGAATTATCACAGGGGTGAGCTAATGAACACCAGTAGGATCATTCAAACCTCTTAATACGTGCTGGATCAAATGACATAGACAAAAATCCTGTCATGTGTAGGCAGCCCTTCTAGAGATTCCCACTGGGAACTTGAGGGTGAAGAGTGATATAGATCTCCAGGATTGTGTGAAGCAAATGTATGTACTCCTTTATCTTTGTACTAGTGTCTTGCACTTGTGCTTGTAGTCACAATATATTGAGAGCAGAGCATGATAGCACAGCTAAACGTTTGCTAACTGAAGTATACAGGCTTAAAAATTAAAACATATTAAAGCAAACTGGAATTTGTCCTTTGGTCCACTGCTGCTTGGAAAGTCAGCAACTCTGTGGTCTGGTGATTTGCTGGTATTTAAGTGTAGACAAGCAATGCCAAAATACCCAGAACTGGAAGATAACTTGATATTACTTTGTTTTCTGTAAGTTTTCTTGGGGTGAGTCTTACACAAAAAGTGAAAGTGCTGTGAGTTCTTAATTTTGAATTAAAAAACAAAAATACGTATTTGAATATGTAGCATTACCTTAAAAATGTGCCCAGTATAAAGCTTTGAGCATGTTTAAAGTAATATTTTAAACAGCTGATGTCAGCTGTAATTTATGCTTCTCTTCTTTAACTCTCTAAATCTTGCATCTTCTAGAGTCTGGAGCTCCTGCCTACTTCTTTGAGTATCAGCATCGGCCCACTTCATACTGGGATAGTAAACCAGAGTATGTGAAAGCTGATCATGGAGATGAAGTTGGCTTTGTCTTTGGAGGACCATATCTGGCTGGTGATATTCAGCTACGCAGTAAGGAATAGAACATTCAGTGTTTGCTTATAGATTATTCCCATAACACTGGCATTCTTCTGTTCAGTAGTGCTACTTCGGTTTTAATCAGACTAAAGGGCATATATTAACAGTGAGACCAAAGTATGACCCTTTCTCCTGTTGGAATTTCTTTAATGATAATTTGCTGTCTTCTCCATTCTTTATCATGTACAGTTTGCTGTTTCTGCAGCACAGTAAATTACACGTGTAGTCAACAATTTAGCAGATAGGAGATTTGCTAGAAAACATCACTGTCATCATACCAGCACTATTTGTGAATTTGCCAAATAGCTTTGGCTAAAAGATAAATTGAAGGAAAGGTCAATTAAACTTGCAGGGGATTAGCAGAGTGTTTAGGAAGCAGAAAATCTAGGCTCTCTTCTTTTCCTGAGGAATTTAAGCTTATGTCTCCTCCTCTCCAGGAAATCCCACAGGCTATCAGGCTCCAGGGAATGGGGGACTCAGGTCTGTTTTGTGTTCCAGTTGTGTTGATTAGAGCAAGGCTTGTAACGCTAGGGTTTCGTTTTCTGCATGAAGATCTAATGATTAGGTTAAAAACTATTTTCTCCTGTGACTCAATATTTAAGCCTTTTATCCAAAATGGAACCAGTCCATTGAAGAAGGATTAAGTTTGTACTCTCAAAATTGCCTTTGCTTTGTCAGTTTGGGCATTCTTGTAGGATTCTGGAAGATCTAGTTCCTTCAGGCAGAATCGCCTGTTGCCGCAGTCCGAATGAACGTGCCAGTCATTGAACAGTTACATACAAGATGCCACATCCTCAGGAATATTATGAATCCAGTAATTTGTTTTAATTGCATATGCTTAAAACAATAATACTCAGGATGGAGTATTTTCTTTCTTGTGAAACCAATTAGGAACAGTTCTTATTTTGACAAAGAAACACAGAAATTCTACTTATTTTAAGTGAATTCACTATTTTTTCTGCTTTTATTTTTTGTCATTTGCACATTAGTTCACGGTCTGTTTCAAAGCCTGCATAAATGAAAGTATTTCCTTTTATTCCATTGAACTTTGGAGCAATGCAGCTACGTTGTAAAAGCATTTGTTAATCAGTTACTAGAGCCTTTCGATGTTCTTTTTTTTTTTTTTTAACTTATGTTATCCTACACTAGAAAACACTATACAGTTCTTTTTCTATTTGCCTAAATTTACAGAGAGCATTAAAATAGCAAAGATTTTTCTCAATGTATTGAGATGCATTTGTAACTAATGGCACACTAACTAAAATTATTTCCACCTAGCTGATATGGTGGGCATATGTGTAACTATATTTAAATGAATATTCTTGAAGTGCTGCGACATGGAATGACACCGTTTTGTATCAGAATGAAGGAACTTTTGGCACGGTCATTCTCTAAATAATAGAGTTTCAGTCCCACAAAGCTAGAATGATATCTATGAAACTAAACCATGTGGCCTATTCCTTGAGTTGTAATGGGACTTGGGATACATAGATACTTCTTTTGTCCTGCATCCAGTTTGCTGAAAAGCTACAGGCAAATAACCTTATTTCCTTGCACCCCAATTCCTCAATTTGTAGAATAAGGATAATTATGCTAATATCATTCATAAAGAGCGCTGAAGTCTTTTCTCGATGATTGCTGTATTACTTACATATGGCAGGTATGGTGCCTCTGTTGTAATCAGTAAGTTGTTACAACATATTCACAGTGAAATGCTGCCTCTGTAGTAGCAATGTTTTGATTTCTGCCACACGTAATAATTATTTTGTGCCTCAGGTGAAGTTACAGACGAAGAAAAGAACCTTAGTAGAACCCTAATGAAGTACTGGGCTAACTTTGCTCGAAATGGGTAAGAATCATGAGATTCATGACACACATTACTGGTTTGTTCTGAGTCTGTGATGGAATTCCCCTGGATTCACTCTTTCTTTCTTGTTGTTTACAGAAATCCTAATGGAGAGGGTTTGGTTGAATGGCCATCTTACAACCTAAATGAAGAATACTTAGAGATAAATCTAAAACAAAAGAAATCCAGAAAGTTGAAAGAAAGGAAGGTAGAATTCTGGAGAAAGATGTTTGAAAAGACAAATAACAAAAGAATGGAAAACAAGGTTAATTCAGAGTTATAATGTACAGTATGAACATGCACATAATATGTAAGCTATTAGGATAGTGAAAGAACCTACTTAAAGTAATTTTGAGGATAAAATTATGTTTCTGTTCTTTTCACCTTTTCTTCACAGTTGACATATTTACAATTATTCACTGTGATAATTCCAGTTGATCTGTTTCCCCTCTGTGATTCTTTACTTTTTCCTATATTCATTTCTACAATAGAAGCCTCATTTATTTAATACAGGTACCAGATTTCCCCACTGTTCAGGTTTTTCTGTCACTTTCCCATGACTGAAGACAGAATGTAAGCAGCAACATTGTGTTAATAAGGTGAAATCAATAAAGACCTCATTTGCAAGTAAAACTGTCTTTTAATATCAAGTGTATCAGTGATGGTACAGAAGTTTTAGTCTGATTTAGATAGAGAAATGTCTTCTGTGTAAAAAAAAAAAAAAAAGAAGGAAACTAAAGAATAGGTTTTTTGTAAATTGGTTTTACAACGGAGAGAGTGTATTTCTGACTGTTGTGATACATAATCTGTAACACTAGTGCCAGAATTAAGACTTCTCCCAAACGTTAGAAAAGGGAGAAATGGTCTCCACTACCTACACTTTTTTCCTGTGAAATTTAGCAATAACTCCCCTAGAAGTATCAACATTGGTAACCTTACTTTCACACTTTCTGTCTCTTCCATGGTGCTTTACTTTGGCTTCCAGGCTGTTCTCTGTGCCACCCGTCAGTTCCAGATCCTCTGCCCTGGCCCACAGGCCCTCATTACTAGCACTGGAGAGACATTCATTTGTACTAGAATTAAAATTCCGGTGCCCTTACCAGCTGATAGGCACTTGGACTGCCAGGAGCAAGCCTTGAACACTTTGTTTCAGTGTGGTCAAACAATTCTTTCTCTGCTGTGTCTTGTTGTTTCCTGTATCTGGCTCCTAGGCTACTCCAGCTCTCCCAACCATATTCCTGACCGTACTCCTACCTCCCAGCAGTATTATGCAGGCATCTATTCCCCTCTTCTTTCATCTCCCCTCTGCATCTCTGGAAAAATTTAAGATTGTTCACAGCTGTGCTGGTTTAGGCCCTGCCAGGACCTGAGACCACGTTGCTGTTGCCCCTCCCCCACCCGCAGCCGGTCAGGCTGGGAGTGAGGCACAAACCCCGAGTTAAAATAAGAAGAAATTTAATATAGCAACAGTAGCAATGATAAAAACAATAAACAGCAATAACAGTAAACAAGACAAAAGATATACAGAGAAACACCGCAATGGTTACGGACAGCCCCATGCTCCCCACAACCAAAGCCACAAAGGAAAAGTTCCCGCGTTCCCGCGCCTGGACCTGACAGCTTGGTATGGATAACCCGTCTGGAGATCCCTTCTCCCTCTCTGCTGGGGAAACTTAACCCTGTCCTAGCTGAACCAGGACAACAGCTAATAATGACCTATAGCAACCACCTGACCATCCCTTCTTTCCGAATGACTTTACTGGAAGAAATAGGGTGGGATTTCCTACATCTTTCTGCCCAAATTCTGTTGCCAGTAAGAACTCAGGAGGTAGGGTTAGACTGTTAGCACAACTTCTGTTTTGGTAAACAGGAATTCCTGCTAAGCATCTGTCCTTCCTTTGTTTTAGCTAAGGTGTTGTGAGAGAAATATGATCTCAGAATAGTCTTGATAAATTTTCACTGCATGTACAATTCCCCTGAGGCCCTGTACCTCTCCCTTTAAAAGGAGATAAACAGGCAGCATTGTATGTATATGCATGGCATATATGCATATGTTGTAAGCATATGCAGAGAAGTGCAGCGAAGCTGGTTTCTTATGCACAGACAGTGCTAAAATCAAATCACTTCCAACCCAAACCATTCTAGGATTCTATAATTGGCAACAGCATTCAAGCAGGCAAACAGGAGTGGAGATTTTACTACTATACAGTACTTCTGCCCTTGGCTTCTAGGAAACCTTTATCACACAGATAAAGGTAGAAGATAAGTTATAATAAACTCCATCACTTGTACCCCAGGAACCTATTCTCATTCACTGCATTTGACAGTGCATCTTTCAATACAGTATAGACTGTACATTCATAACAGTGCAGACTAATCCCAGACTAGTTTTACTGACCTTAAGCATCATGAACTTCACTCTTAAGAAACAAGAAAAATGTCTCCCAGAGAACATCTATATAGCTATAAAAATTCTGCAATGAAGTTATTGTCCACATTATTTTCTTAGAAGCTCAAATTTACATCATTATCCCATTTTCCAATGTATACAGTGCACTAACTGTACACTCAGAAACAGCTGATACTCACGCTAGTGTAGCACTGGCCACTGTTAGCAGTGTAGTTGCACAGGGCTCAGTACAGAGCCCCAAGTCTCCTGATTAACAGAACAAATGCTTAAGATACTCAGCATGTGCTGAATGTGTACATTTGAAGGTACCTGCCAACAGTTTGCTCTCTAAGCCATCCAGTTTAAAGTTGACTGGGATTTACTTACAGGGGCTATAAATCACACCTGTGCATATATACTTAGGAAGATTTGGAGTAAAGTACACAAGCATCGCTGTAGTACGCTGGACTATTCAGTGTGTAATATATGTGCTGAACTAATTTAATGACTGTGGGTCTTTACAGCCCGCTTAGATGACAAGCAAGGTTCAAGCAGTAAATCTGCAGAAGTGCTATGTCTGACAACTGAGAATCCTTGTGATATAAAATTGCAGAAAGCCTTTCTGGGGCAAGAGCTACTGAGCCTTGCCCCCCCCAAAAAAAAAAAAAAAAGAAAGAAAAAGGCAGAGCCCAAAGCTTACATAAAACTAATACAACCTCTTAGTTAATGTGGGCAGAAATTCTCTTTTATTTCTATTCAGCTATTTCTTCCCCCTTTTTCATATCATTCCCCAATTATGGGGTTCATGCAGATGTGCATTCATGCAGAAGTCCATAAACCCTCCTGATTTTTCAGAGGTGTTAAATGTACAGTTACCACCCAAATCCTTTAATATTGTCCCCATGCTACAAAAGTTGAGAAATCATCTCTTTAGTGTTGCAAAACTCATGTATTGTGTTAGATATCAAACAAAAATCCCTGAACACACACAACTGAGTGAAGTATCCACCCTGCAGGAAAAGCTAATGTTTTTTAGTGTTACTTTTGTCCAAAAATATCCTTTTGTGAGAACAGAAGTCCCTCAATTTTTACTGATATTAAGATATTAATACCAAAATGAAATAAACAGATTAATAAAAAGTAAAAGCGTAGTGCCCTTCCTGGTCTCTTCACTGTGTAGCGTGAGGAAATGCTAACTACATTGTGAAAGATGGTAGTGTTACAGCAGAAGGACAGATCTCCTGTGGCAATGGAAGACTCTTTCGAAAGCGTTTTAAAGCACGGTGCTGATGCCTGAGGTCTTGTGAATAAGATTTATAAGGAGCACTAAGGAGCCAGTATGAAACTTGTGGTGCCGCTGTGCAAGGCAGGAGGTGTCCCTGTCCCCACAGAGAGCTGAGGTGCCGCGCAGTCCCCTCCGAGGAGTGGCTTACAGGCAGGGCACAGCGAGGTTGGCTCACCGCTTGAGTATTGCTCTTCCTAATCAGCGTTTGCCTTGCATAACAGGTATACTTAAGGGAGTATATAAGGCAACACACTGAGGAAGTAAATATGTGACTAGCTTGCAAAATGGCAGCTGGAGAGGACACCTTGCTGCTGTCCTTGATTCTCACTGCTGGGGTCACAGCGCTGGTAGCTACTGGTAAGCTTCGGAAGGGTTTTTCCCTATCACCTTCTGTAAGGAGACAGAGCACATGTGCAGCTTGCTCACCTAGGGGAACCCCAGCTTTATTGGAGGGGCTGGGCACCCAACCTTGCTGCATAGAAATTAAGTCTGAATAGCAAATCATTCTTAATTTCTTTTTGTGATCTCTTTTCAGCCGTTTGTCTCATGTGCCTTTTTTGCAAATAGCAAAATCAAATTTCTGAGCCAAAATCTTGTCTGCTGAGGCAGAGCAGACCACTGTACCACATTGGTAATTTGGTATTGAGAACTTTCACACCAATCTTACAATGAATCTTACCTAAATGTTAACACTATTTATATATGCTGGACTATTTTCACGTATGTTTGAAGATTTTTCTTTTGGCTGTACATACTATCAAAGGTCCAGAATATACTTGTGTGTTTACAGATCTTTTCTTTAAAAGGAAATGCATTTTCTTAATGAGAGCAATCTATTGGACTTTTAACTATCAACCTGGGTCTAAAAGGATTAAGATCTATATGCAATTACTAATGTGTGTGTACAGTAAGACAATACATATGACATACCTGAGGGAGTTTATATATGCAAACCAATTGAAATGAAGGCTGAAATAATGCCAGTTATACTAATTAGAGTTTGTTGAAGCCTCATGTATGAAAATAGATAGTTTATGTAAACAAAATCTGTATATTTAAGTAGCTAAAGCTCTTGGGAAATCTGGCAATTACTTATGAATAGACCAGTTATGTGATTTTGTGCTCACATCCTCCAGGACAAAAAGCAGAGCAACCAGAAGTGGTGACCAAATATGGGAGAGTCCGAGGGTATCAATTCAAGGTCGATGCAGCGGAGAGAAGTGTAAATGTCTTCTTGGGACTTCCTTTTGCTAAGCCTCCCATTGGACCACTGAGGTTTTCTGAACCCCAGCCACCTGAGACATGGAAAGGTGTCAGAGACGCCACATCCTACCCTCCCATGTAAGTGAAAAAACCACTGATCTTTTTAATAATTTGATATTATATGCAATTCTAGGACACTGATGTACAGGGCAATCAAAAGCCACAAAGATAAATTCCTTAGTGCCATCTCATTACCAGCTGTAACTGTTACAGTGAATGCATTTCTAAAGACTTCTTTATAAGCTTCTCTTTTTATTGAAAAACAGCTATCTAATGGGCATCAGTGATGAACTAATATGGACCATCACTTTGCCAATAATGTTCTGTTTCATGAGTATTTGGCCATTAATTAACAATGTTTATAAACTGTGTAGCTTTGGAGCAGAAACTTAAAGAAGCTGAGGAAATGTTGGAATAAAATATTAGAAGAAAAAGGTGCTGAGTCAGTCATATGCTTAATGGGACACATAAGAAATGCAGACCAATTCTAGTCTATATTTTAAATGTCTTACTCCATTTATTCTACTGCCCTTGTTTTATAAAAAGCTATGGAAGATGTAAACTAATTCGTTTGCATTTTCATTGAAGTAATTTATAGCCACATGTATTTGCAGGTATATTTCTGTAATATTTTGAAACATGCAAAATTATATCTGCATGTCACTGTGCACTGCTGTAGATTGCAGCTCCTTTTTATGGGTTTCCTTAATGACAGTTCAAAGGAAGAAAAAAAAGAAGTGAAAAAAACTTCTATATTTTCAGTTGCCAAGAATCTAGAAATGTACTAGAGATTGGTTTCTTGGTTTGCACTTTGCTGTGGAAGTACAGAAAAGATGCACTTCATAGCTTTGAGGTTTTAGTTATTTCTGTTATTTTTTCATTTATTCAGGTGTCTACAGGATAAAGTACAAGGACAAGTTTTTTCGGACAGTATTACTAATAGAAAAGAAAAAGTTCTTCTCCAAGTGTCTGAAGATTGCTTATACCTAAATGTGTATACACCTGTTTCTACAGAAAAAAAGGAGAAGCTGCCTGTAAGGAATATCATTATATAACCTCTAGCAAAATTATTTTACAGCAAACCTACAACCTGTGCTCTCTGCAGACTTACAGGTGCAGTTTTGTAACAATGATCAATTTACATGCTTTGCCTCAGTAAATATTTGCTGAGGTTTAAGACAGACAAGAAATCCTATTTTACAAATAAAATTTTATGGACATTTTAGCTAGGTAATATTTAATTTCCTCAAAATAATCCGTCAAAAGTCACGGGGCACTGGTATAGTGTACATATTTAATAAAATAAATGCCATTTTGTAGAACCACAGGCCTCATATTCAAAAGACTTCCACCATTTGTGAAATGTAATCTGAAAGAGTCAGGAGTGAAACAGTACAGTTTTTATCACTGGGAGCTCTTATCTGTACTGGGTTGTTTCTGGTTTTGTCTTTCCAGGTCTTTGTATGGATCCATGGAGGTGGATTAGTTTTTGGAGCAGCTTCATCATATGATGGCTCAGCACTGGCGGCCTTTGACAATGTGGTGGTTGTAACAATTCAGTACAGATTAGGTATTGCTGGATATTTTAGGTAAGATATTTTATCTCAGTTTTTGCTAAGTGATTTCCAAAATTATGTGTGCAAAGCCTTTGTGAGGAGATGTGCTGAATACTTGCCTATGCAAAGAAACTATACATTTCTTAATTATTTATGCGGCAGTTGGGAACAATTTACAAGTCCCATGTCAGCTTCCGAGACTGCTCTTGTTCGATGGCTACCCTAATTTCAAGGCTTTCTGAGCCATTTATTTTTCAGTTTTGTAGAAAAGCTCTGTGTAGAGAATGGGAGCTGATTTTTTATACCACAGATTGTATTTTTCTCTGCCTTTTTTCTTGCACTGAGCATTAAACAAGTCTGTTGTTTTTCTGCAGCACTGGTGATCAGCATGCCCGAGGTAACTGGGGGTATTTAGATCAAGTAGCAGCTCTTCAGTGGATTCAGGAAAACATCGTACATTTTGGAGGAGATCCAGGATCTGTCACTATTGCTGGAGAATCTGCAGGAGGAGTCAGTGTTTCTGCTCTTGTAAGTTCACACAGTAACATTGAATTTTAATTACTTAGGGGAAAAAACAGTGTCCACATTCATTTTTAGTACCTGCATGAAAAGTCAGTGAGAGAAAATGGATGGGTTTATAGTAAATGACACAGCTTCTGATTGATTAAAATGTTCTTTTCATACTCAAATCTTGTAATTCAGACCCAAAATGTTATTTCTCTTCTATTAAATTACATTCTGGGGTGGTTTTTTTGCAGTGCCAAAACCCCAGAAATTTGTCCTTGTGAGAAAAGTGCTTTAAGTGGATGTATTGCCCATTTCCTGTTTGCTTTGACAGTCACTTGTACAAAGTAACCAAGGTGAATAGTCATGACAGATGTCTAGACGTGCATTTTGTGACCCAGAGATTATGTAAAATTTTTGCATCAACACTGAGCACTTGGCTAAGAGGTTCTTCTCCTCCAGTCTCTCAAAATTTGGTACAGATCACACAGTGAAACCAGGGTTCAGCGACACACACGATAAAAATTCCTGTTTTCTAAGCTCCTGCCCTCTGACCAGTAGTTCGTTATTCCCTTCTGCAGCACAGCCAGACTATCCTGGACACAGTTCTATTTGATCCATATCTGGCTTGCAGTGTAGTTCCATGAAGTCTTGGAAACAAGGTGCTATGGGAGGGGAAAAGGCAGGCATGAACCCTGTATCCCTGGGAGTGCTGCCAAAACCCTTTGCATAGCTGAACTATGATCAGAGGCTACAGATTAACAGTCTTATGACAGTTGTTTTCAAAATGTTATAAATGACAATTCCTGATATTTAAATTTTAAGTCAGTGGTCAGAACATAATACTTGTCACGCTTGTAATGCTTGTTCTTGCCTTTTTACAGGTCCTATCTCCCCTGGCAAAGGGCTTGTTTCACAGGGCCATTTCAGAGAGTGGTACTGCAGTCAGGGTTTTGTTCACTGACCAGCCTGAGGAGGAAGCACGCGTGGGTATTTTGTGGTATTTTTCATTATTTTTCCTGATAGCTTTGCATATCTTAAACTGTTTATTCCAAAATGTAAAACCAGATTTTTTTTTCTTGTGAAACTTGCAGCCACAGTCATTACAGACAGTCTTTCTGTGTGCAAATAAAATATGTTTAGTGATGTTTTGCTTTTCAAATACCCAAATATCCACATATTTCTGAGTGAATGCAAAGGACTAAGGAAGCGAAGAGAGAAGGCAGGGAAGAAGTGTGAAATGTAAAGGAATACTATTAACATGTACTGTCTTCAAGAAAATGTGAGCTATAATTTTTGCCTACAAAATGGCACCAGATTCTGAATACTCCTCTCTTGCTCTCCTGTTTGATGCCTGTTGTATGCAAATAAACAAGACTATTCAATTTGTTTATATCTGAAAAGAAGAACTGACTTCAACCCAATTATTTTTTTTTCAACTACAAGAAAGAACTTCCAGAAACCTAGATTTGATAATCCGAGGTAGAAAAGAAGCAAGATTATAATGAGCTCTGTCTTTCTAATGACAGCTGTTACTTCACCCAAAAAGACATCATCAAGAATGGTGTAATGTACTCTTTGTTACCATGTACATTGTTGGGTTCTGACTGTGCATCACTCAACTACTTTATGTCATCCTGCCTTCTCATCCCAGCATGTTACTGACCAGAACAACTATCTTGGTCTGTTTCTGTATAAAAATATTTTGGAGGTGTATGTTTTGCTCTTCTGCTCAGCCCACAGTGTGAAGGGTTGTGAGGGATTCCTATTCTCTACCTCCGCAGCTGGAACATGTCTGGCTTCAGTAATCTTTGGGCAGAAATGTAGACTCCCCCCTGCTGGTCTCTCAGGCTCTGGCACATAGAGCCTTCTATGGGAACTAGATGAAAAGTGTTTGTTTTTATTGATTGCAGAGGATTGCTGCTGCCTCTGGCTGTGAAAAATCTAGTTCAGCTGCAATAGTTGAATGCTTAAGAGAAAAAACAGAAGAAGAGATAGTAGAAATAACACTAAAAATGGTAGGTGAAATCATACTTCTTGCATTTAAGTGACATTTCAAATTTTATGCTATTTCTGTGTTGTAGTATTAAGAGAACTTGAAGTGGATGTAACATCTGTTGACCTTTTCAGGATTTGACAACACTGCAGTTGTGCTAGACCTCACCTGAAAAATGTGAACAAGTTACTTCCCTTTCATTCTGCATGGACTTTTTGCTACTTGTGTTTTGCTGTCATGCTCTACCAGGGGAAGGAAAAGAGTGCATGAAATACCACATTTTCTCCTGGAGAACCTGAAAATTAATTAATATATTATATTATACCCACTTAAAATTTCCTATCACAGTGCTGGCTTCCATGTTCCTTTGCAGTTTCAACACAGAAGTTAGTTTTTTCACTACTGCTTCACATATCCATAACAGGATTGAACTAACTAAGAAGAGATAGAAACTGGACATCACCTATGTTTCACAAACATTAAAAATGTAATGCGAATCTTCTGCCTAGTGCAGAAAAACTGTCAGAGAAAATTTAGAGATTACTTAAATGCTAATTCTTCTTACATTTTCACTTGTCACTTTATTTTGTTTTGCTTTGGAACTACAGTAAAAATCTGAAATTTTTTTCTAGAAGCAAATTTTCTGTATTAATGAAGCTTTTTTTTTTTCCCCTCTAGTCTTCCTTCTTCACCAGTGCATCTGCAGATGGTATATTTTTTCCAAAGAGTCCCAGACAATTACTATCTGAAAAAGTTATCAGTGCAGTCCCATATATGATAGGAGTAAATAACTGTGAATTTGGATGGACAATTCCTACAGTAAGAGACTTATTATGTTGTTATTTATATCTATTTTAAAAATATAATATTTTCTAATAAATATGATTCTCTTTATCATGCAGATGATGAAATTTCCTGCTTACACAGATGGTCTGGATAAAGATGTTGCACATCAAATTTTACAGGGCTCCTTAGCATTATCACTTAAGGTAAGAGACCATTTTCAGAATAACCCAGTGCTTCTTCCTCACTGGTCTGGTTCTATATTTGTACTCTTGGAGGGGTACATTTTAGAGGCAAACTTTGTTCCATTTGACAGCTTCTTACTATGGGGCAGTAATGGGCAGCAGACATAGTGTATTCCCGTTGACACCAGCAATTGAAAATACATTTCAAATTTCTATCCGAAATGCTAAATCCTAGAAAAGAAGGGTCTTTTTTAAAAGTAGTTCTGTGGAAATCCAGGAGTGATTCAGGTACCTTAAACATAGATCTGTTGTGACGTTGTAGATACCCTAGGTTATCCAAGACATGGATGCTACCAGGAGGTATGACACAAGACCTATAGAACACATCGTTCTGAAGCAGTAGCTAGACACTTGAAAGGATAACCCAAGATGTTTAAAATGGCACTGAGACCTATGTTTAGGTATCTTGACTTTTTGCTTCCCTGTAATTTACAAATCTCTTAGCCTTCTGGTTCCTTTGTTCTCTCCTGAAACTACTAAATGTAGAAAAATGCAGATTAATGGGTAGGAATTAAGGATTTTAGAAACATGGCCAATACTTGCAATGGGTCATTCATGTCATGAACTCAGAAAGGCAGAGCCCAGGCTTGTTCTGAAAGGGAGTAAATTATGGCCATCTACAACAATAAATTAATTTTATGAAATCCAACAGGATTTCTTTTATCTTATGAAGGTTATTTCCACAGAAGAGAGAACAGACTACTGTATCTATTTATCAGCATCACTGACTGCTGTTTCTCTAAAGATGTTCGATCTTTAGATCTTGCAGAACATCTATAACCAGTAGCTGTGTAACTCCCAGTTTTGAGCTCTGAGCCACACTGACACAGTTGAGGATTTTTTGTGAAAGAAGGTAATGCTTGGGGTTTAGCCAGGGACGTGCAGATGGTACACTCAATTAGTGCTGTTACTCTTAATAATATTCATCATCATGATAAGAAATATTTTTATTGTTCATTTCAGGATGTTACTTCTGAAGTTGTTGATCAAGTATACAATGAATACATAGGGAAGGCAGAAAACCGTGCTCAGGTCCGAGATGGCCTTCTCAGTGCATTAGGAGACCATTTGTTTGTTCTTTCATCCATTGAAGTGGCTAGATACCATAGAGGTGAGTCTCTAATTCAGCATCTATCAGAAGAAATGTAGAATTACATCCTGGGGTGTGTTTGTGGACAGTATGCATCACACTTCATTATCCAAAGAACTGATAGTGTTTTCATTTTACCAAAATAGCTTGTAGTGAAAGTTTATCATCTTTGGTGGCAGGCATTTTCAGTTCTCAAACTAATACCCTTCTGTATATTTTCTGCTAGATGCTGGCAACCCTGTCTACTTTTATGAATTTCAACATCGACCGAGTTCGGCGACAGGTGTTGTACCAGAGTTTGTAAAAGCAGATCATACAGATGAGATTGCCTTTGTCTTTGGAAAGCCATTCTTAGCCGGTGATGTATCCATGTTCACTAAAATATTCCTTTTAAAACTTCACTATTATTCATTTTACTTGTTGAAGAGCTTTGGAAGAGACTTTCTCTCTTAGAAATATCAGAATCAACATAAACATTTTCCATCTTTAGTAGTTACTTTTTGTGAAATCATTCATTTGCAGTTCTAGAGCTCTGCTCAAGTAAAACTCCCATAGCTCAGAGTAACAAGTAGAACTGATTACAGTCTAATGTAATTAATACAGCTGCTACTTTTTTATTATTTAGCTTTTAATGTTGCCATTTAATCTCTCACTATGCAGGGTATGCTACAGAAGAAGAAAATAAACTTAGCAGAACTGTTATGAGATACTGGACTAACTTTGCTAGAAATGGGTGAGAATCATAATGCTGACTGGCTAAAATCCCAAGTTTTGTCTGGGCTGACTGAAACATAATAGCAATACTTACATGGCAGTTCCTACAAATTCGGCAGAATTTAAGATAAATATTGAGGCAAATTATTTCTATTCTTAATGTTTGCATCAAGAAAAACCTTTTAAATGAACCTGCAGACCAAAAAAAGGAAACAAAAAAGAAATACAAGAGCTATTACTCCATCTGCAATGGAGTTTTAAATCCAATAGTAATGGCAATTATTAAATGTTTGCTATTCCACTGATGAGCATTTTGATAAAAACCATCCAACTATTCAGGTACTAGAATCATGTAATCTGAGCTCTTACTAGTTTTCTGAAATGCCCTCGGTCTGAGCTGTCAGAGCACGACTGATAGGCAAATGGAAAGCTAACTTTTAATTGTATTATTTCCAGAAATCCCAACGGAGAAGGCTTGGTCCATTGGCCTCAGTATGATCTGGATGAAAGATATCTGGAAATAGACCTAATGCAAAAGGCAGCAAAGAAACTGAAAGAACGCAAAATGGAGTTTTGGATACAGCTCACAAAACAAATGATGAATGAAAGGAGAGAACACACAGATTTATAAGAGTTGTGGAGGGTACAGTTTGCTTTTAAAACCCAAAGTCAAGTCACACAAAATCAGTTTGTCAGGATGCAGAGTTTAACAACCACCATCTAACTCACTATTATGTAATCTGTTGTCATGATCACAGTGAAAGGACTGACTCAAGGGAAATTTGGAATGTTTGTGGGACTAAAAATCACTATTTAATGAAGGAAGCAGAAAACCCTACAATCTTTCAGGCTCAAAAAGACCATGGTACCTCCTCAGTGGATATCAAAACTGAATAATGCTCCTGTGAGAAGGGGGAATGAGGGTGAAATTGGCAAAATGTATTGAAATCTGTAAGAAATTATCTATACAGAATATATCATAAGTGTCAGGATATGTTATATGCATATTGCCCTCTTCTTTCAGAAGAGGATGGTCACTTGTCATTTTTACAGACTCTTTCCACGTTCTTTAATTGAAAATAGCTTGTAGGGAGAAGACCATCCATCAAAAACCATTTGTGAAATGGGCTTGACATCTCACAAATGAGGACAGAAAACCTCTACTTGTTTTCTTTTGTTATAAACTGTTATAAATAAATCTTGCTTTTGATCTTTTGGAACTTCCCTTTCTTTCATTTAACTGATATAGGCTAATTCCAAAAGGTTAAATCACACCTGAAGAGCCAGAAATGTGCCCAGTTTCTTTCTTCAACCTAAAGGGTTTCAGATATGAATTTTCCATCTTTCTTTGCAGGCCCGGTGTCTCAAGGCTCTAGGGTTTTCACAGACTATTCTGTGGTGTAATTATCTGTTCTTCAACCCTTCCTGGCAAAGAATTCACAATTCACTGGATGGAGGGAGGAAGCATTGCTGGCAGGACAGATGCCCACTGAAACAGAGGGAAGAGCAATCTGTGTTGTTGTTCACTGTATGTTGTTAGCTCAACATTGTTCATGGGCCCACAATGGGAAGACCTGCTGATGTGAAAAGCATGCACCCCCAGCCTTCCTCCTTTCAGGGGCACTAGCAGCTGTAACCACATTTTTGGCATATCTGGAACGCATCAGGGCACACAAGTAGTGGAGTGGCTTTTTTGCAAAGTTACACGACAAGACACACTTGCCAGGCACGAAGGAACACACAGTGTAAGCATCCAAGAATCTATAAGAACGCTACTCATAACAGTAAACAAACAGCAATAAATTAGCTGTAACTACCCCCTTAACTGATGTTGAGCTCACCCTCCCATCTCCCACAGCATCCCACAGGCTATGGCTACTCTTCCCAGGAGGGGCTGACAGTGACACAATGGCAGCCCACGTTCCTGCCTGCAGGCGTTGATTTCTTGAGAATGCCGCTGCGTTCCTCCTCACCTTGGGGTTCACTTGGGCTTGCTTTCACACACTGGTGGACCTCGAGCAGTGTTATCTATACTGCACCTCTGCCTAGCTATCCCCTTTTGTGCATTTTTTACATATCTTGCAAAAACCACTAGTTGTTATCATTACTTGCAGAAAGCCACCATTAAGTAACAGCTAATTGCAGCAACAATGTTCAACCATACTGATAGTTTGTCTCACATTTCTGAACGCAGTATATGGGGCACACTGGGCATTTTATTCCTTCCCCTGTTTTGATTGAAGTAGCCTTTAAGTCTGGTTTGTTTGTTGAATTAAGAGTTTCTGTCCTTGTAGGGTCACAGAAATCATAATCTTAAACAAGATAGAAAAAAATCCCACGTGTTTGTGAATGCAAAATCATAGGTGTAACTTCTGTGGAAAAGTGAGGCCTGTTATTTGATTAGGCATATATGACAACACAGTATGTTTGTATGACTGTGTGAGAAGTAGCGTTCTATCCATCTACTTTAAAACTTCAAATATATAGAATGGTCTGCTCTCAAACAGTTGAGAAAGGAATAATACTAGGGCCACAATGTATAGGTTAACTTTAAGTAGCAGATTCCTACATTACACTCCAAACCACATTTTATTTTATACCTTTAATATTAATGGTCACTTGATATAAATACTTAGCTCAGCTCAAGGTAACAGTACATATACATTAAATACGAATGTATGCAGTGCACCTATATTTGAAGAAATTCTTAGCAGCATATTTGGCTGATAATATTCAACAAGAACTGCTGCTGTTGTTCTGGTTTTCACATTCTGTCAATAGAACACAATCTTTTTTTTAAAATGTATTATTTATACATCATTTCTATGTTGGCCTTTCTAAGTAAGGGACCAAGTATGTTTGTTACGTGCCATTCCTGCTTCTCAGGTCATCTCTCCCCTGGCAAAGGGTTCCACAGGGCTACCTCAGAGAGTGGAGTTGTAGCCAGAACTCTGATAACTGACCGTCCTGAAAGACAAGCTAAAGTAATTAATTTAAAAATTCATATTGTTCCATATTTATTACTGACCTTTTAATATTGTAGCTTTCCACACGTTGATACCTCCAGTGAAAAAAATCTATTTGCATACCCATTTATGATACTGCTTTGTTCAAACTTGCAAATACTCAGTATTGTGCACGCTGTTGTAACTTATTTATGTCACATCTTTTACATGAAACATGACTCTGGTCTTGAGCTGTAATGGAAGGAATTGGAGTTCTGCAAAATCACTTTGTATTCCCAGCACAGGGTAGTTGGTGACTGCTCACTGTAGCTCGATTGCTGAAGAAAGTACTGCCCACGGAGGAGTAAGTAGCACAGTTAATATAAGAAAATTGTCAGTCTTTAGTTAATTCTCTCTGACTGCAGAGAATTGCAACACTGTTGGCTGTGAAAAACCTGATTTGGCTACAGTGGTTCAGTGCTTAAGAGAAAAAACAGCAAAAGAGATGGTAAATATAACTCTAAAAATGGTAGCTAGTGCTGTATCTTGTTTTATAAGACAGAATCAATCCTTCTCTAAAACTAGGATAACTTGAAGTAAAACCATTGTATGACACTTGCTTGGCTTTTGTGGGACTTCACAACAGTGCGCTTGAACAATAGTACCGCACCTGAAGAATCTGAACAGGAACATTCCCTACCCTGCATTTCAGGGTAGAAGTGCATTCATCACAGGAATGTAAACAATCAATGCTTTTTTATTCCCCCCTGGGAACAGTTATGAACCAGGAAGGCTTGCAAATACCAAATAGGAGAGCTAAAATTGCAAAAATGGTACTGGCCAGCTTTGCATAGTCAGTTGTGTCACCTTTGTTATCCACAAGGCACGTCCTAGCAGCTGGCTGATTTTTCAGTACAGTGTGCAAAGAAGAAAGGACTGCTTATTAGAGGAAGTAACACACCATTTATCAAACCTTTCTGGTAGTACAGTCACTGAGAAAGCTTCTCTTTTTGCAAAACTGACCTTTTGTTAGCAGCTGTTTAATCTGTTGCCATAACCAGTTTTTCTGTATCACTGTGCTGGCTTGTCAGTTCTTTTGTAGTCTTACCACATAAGCTTCTTTTGACCCTGTTACTCATCCAATCCTAAGAAGCTGGAGTTAGAAACTGGTTAACAAGTCACTTTCTGTCTTAAGTATTCAGTGCTAAATTCTTGTGCAGTACTAAAATTATTAAGAGAAACTGAGAACAAGGCCTGAAACCTAGTTACCTTTGACGTTATATATTGTAACTAAAAATAGGTCCCTTGGGTGATTCTTTAGTCCAATTAAGGAAGCTGAATTATCTTTCCAAGCAAAACCAATATGTAAGTAATAAATGGGTACTTTTTTCTCCAGCATCCTTTCTTTATTGATGCCGTTGTGGCCAGTATATTTTTCCCTAAAATCTCATCACTGCTACTAGCTGAAAAAAGGATCGGTACAGTCCTGTACATAATAGGAGTAATGAACCACAAATTTGGATTTCTTCTTCCAGCTGTAAGATGCATATACCTTTTATATAGATGTTAATTTATTAACTATTCAGGAGCATAGGAGCTCACAGAAAACATTCTTTTAACTCTGTAGGTGCTGAAATAGCCTCCTTTTGCAAAAGGATTGGACAAAAATGTACCATTCAGGCATTAGAGAGCACAGTCTTTCCCAGTAAGAGTCAGTTTTAATGTGTTAACTGACTTTTATCTAGTGAGGGTTGGTACCTCAGCCTAGGGCTCTTCATTTCTGGGATACAGACACTGCAGCAGAATTCCCCCCATGTACCGTTATGTCCTGTAACTAAGCACCAGGTGGGGAAGCGGGGCATTGGGCTGTAGTTCAGACTCTGCAGAGGGTCCGTCCTTCAGGGTCTCTGAGGCTGGTTCCCAGGCTCCAAGGATTGTTCCATGTATCTGAGAACAACTGGTCCTAGAAGGGAATGGCGTGAGCTTGAGATAATTCTGGAAATTCACAGTAAGATTAAATGGATTCACAGTAAGATAAAAATAGGAACTCACAGTAAGATTATGCAAATACTGTCTTCCTTACGCAGGTGATTTCCACACAGGGAAAGCAGCAGGTATTGCCGACTGGTAGCACCCGGGCAGGCATGGGTGTAATTCCCCTCTGCGCTCCCGCAAATCTCTTGCTTCCAAGTGGAGCTGTAACAAGTAACACTTGAGCACCAGCAGAGTTTTGATTACTCGTTTATTAGGCAATCTAGTGTGCTTTTATGAATTTCAGCACCAGCCAAGTTCAAGTGGATATTCAAAACCAAGCTCTGTAAAAGCAGGTCACGCAGATGACGTTGGCTTTGCGCTTGGAAAGCCCCTCTGGGCAGGTACCTGGGTTCGCTCAACCGCGTTTACTCATCACTTGCATTTGGGCACTGTTAAGCATTTGCAGGACAAGGCAGCACTCCTCCAGAGCCCCGGCCCGGCCCCCCCGCC